AGTAGAAGCAGTAGCAGTAGTAGTAGCAATAGTGAACACAATCATTATCGCAAATAGTAAGGTGCCCGCCCGGCCCAAAATACGTGCAGGCTGCACCCGCGGCTTGTGGCCTTTGGGTGCTATCTCGTTGCCCTTCAGTTGGTCCCGCAGCTTGGCGAAAAGTTGCGAAGACTTCAGGCCTCAGGGCATCGCTGTAATGGAAGATGTGCGAAATCCAGCTGTTTAGTTTTTGTGCTGTGCCGGTCTGACATTGTGTAAGAAGAGTTGACGGGCGCTTCCTTGAGGAGATGTGGCTATGAACGCCTACATGGTCGCGCCGCGGCCTGGTGCCTTTCATGAGCAGATGCCATGGCTGGTCGACATGGACATGACTGGCGAAGTGAAGCAGTCCCGATTGGCCACAGGCAGCGACAGCTCGATCATACGGTTGTATTCAACTTTCAGGAATTCCCACTCACGCCGTCTCATGATTGGCACGCTGCAGGGAGCAGCTCGGCCTCGCGGCGTCTCCAAGCGGCCATGGACAAGGCCACTTCAGCTTGGAAAGGAGTTATTCCGCAGGTAGTTTCTGAACAGGACGCTGGCCCGCTGTGAAAACAAACCATGCTTAGCAAGGGGTAATATAGGGCCTATAATATAGGGTTCTTTTTGTTGAGACTCGTTTCTCTAATAGGATACCTCGCTCTACACTCCCTTCCTATTCCTGCCTTCCCTCCCCGGCCCTCTCTCGCTCTCTCCCTACATCTCTGTCCCTTCCTGGCACTACTGTACTATTATTATGATGATTATTATGATTGCTACTATTATTACTATCATTACTATCCTTACGATTATTATTGTTATTAGTATATATTCGTATTGCTAATATTCGGCTCGTCAGTCGGGTGCTTCGCCGGAGTCCTGGCTGCGCTCCTGGCTGGACGGCCCGGCAGAGGTTCAGGAGTTTAAGGGTTTTTTCACAGATGCGCAGCGCAGTCGCAGCCGCATGAGGCAGCGTAGAGCCCCGTGATGCAAGAGCATAATAACAATAATATGACAATAGCAAGAGTACTAATAATGGTAATAAGAATTAGAAACACTGGTAATGATGGTAATGGTAATACGAATAAAAATACCAGTGATGATAGTAATAACCATCACCAGCCCATTGCGCTGCCGTTCGACAGGACTCCGTTCATGCACCGCCATCGGCTACGCGGTGTAGCTGGACCGGGATGTTGGTGCAGTCTTTGGGAAACTGTACAACTTTCCTAACAGCTAGCTGGCAGATTTAACGAAATACGGGACTCTCATATAGTGGTGATATCGTGCGCCATGTGCCATGCATTATGCTCTACACGGACACCTCCGACCTCAACTGTACAGTTTGACTCGGCACAGCTAGAACTTAGGGGTACTTAGAAATAATTTTAAATCTTTGGCTACTATAAACCCTAAGAAGCAGCTAAAATTATAGTTTTTGCGAGGGGTCTAAGTTCAGTATAGAGAAGTTTGCGCTTGGCTTTGCTTCATGGCACCAGGGAGCTCTCCTGCCTTGCGAGGAGAGAGTTTCATGCTCAGCATGCACCACGGCTCGAGAAGACACTCAGGTAAGGGCGTCAGATAATTCGGCTTGCAGGAAGATGTGACCCTAAACCTTAGACCCCTAAACCTTAAACCCTTAAACCTCCGGGGCTTCACAACTTAAGAGTTCTCTCGGGAAGTTTCAGATGGGCTCCCATCTTTTCGTGAGGGCCGTTTTGACACCGAGACATTTGACAAAAGCGGCAAACATGCAAATCAGAACAGCTTGCGGCAAACTGTGCCGCCCTTCGACAATCTAATCTTCCTTTTCGCAGTGGTCAGCTGCGAGGGAGGACAGTAGGACGGTCTTTCAATCCGTTTCCATGCTCGAGACTTGTAAGCATCTAGGACGGCATGTAGAACGACATACCTGGACTACTAGACAACTTGCCAGGTCAAGTTGGCTTAGAGTTGCACGCAGAAGTCCACAACATAGCTCATTCGCTGTCACTGACACCGGGTGTGGAGAACTGCCACATTGCCCTGATCCTGGTTTGCCGGCGAATTATGTTGATGCAACGACACTAAGGAAAGGCATCGCCGTGGTGCCCTGCCAACAGCCTTGCCAGGGTCAGCCTTTGCCACAGCGCTCGGCGATCTTGCATTGCACCCAGATCCAAATTCAAGTCGGAAGGATTATTTGCTTTTCAATCGCTTCTTTGCGGACATTTGAGATACATAGCCGAGGACGGACTCAAGCGGCTTCACTTTATTGCATCATGCGGCTGTCGCTGCTGCCCCGGCTGCACTGGCAGCACTACTCTCCGCACGACGTCCGGTGCTGTGATTCTTTTGGGAATGCGGCAGGTTGAGCAAGAAGTTGTAAACACAAGGCTGACGCTTCAGACAAGGTGATGACTATGCCAGGCAGCCACAGCTCGTGAATGAGCCTTGCATGAACGTACCGCCGTGCGCTGTTGGTTGTTCTGTCACACACTTGCTTGCGTATGCGTATATATATAGATACATCACATATACACTGCACATATACACATATATCATTTATATATATATATATATTTATTTATATATATATATTTATTTATAGACATATCCTTATATATATATATATATACTAGACAC